AATTCAGAACAGGGCACACAAAAAAAAGGGTGAAGCCGGCGAGATGCTCGTGAGGGCATCTGCTACCTCCCTCTCATTAGTACCATTTCTGCCTTATGTCCTCTGACTTTTTTTTCCCCCCCTTTTTTTTTTTTTTTTAATCAAAACCTGCCCCTGCCTCTTGCAAACCTAATTCCCTTTTAATGCTCACTGTTAAGATAATGAACTGTGGTGGCAGAACCCCATCAAATCAGGGAACGTTTGGAGTTTTATCACCACCAAGTCACACTGCTGAGGACTTCAGAGCCGTGCATTCCTCCTAGCCATTTCTTGGTGGGCTTTCTCCCCCCCTCTGTCTTTATGCAAAGTCTGAGGGGTCAAGGCGAGGTCATAGCTTTACAGTAATTGAATTTATAATCCTGTTTTCTCCAGCTAGGCCTGACCATTTACAGCAAACATCTTGTTAAACTGTAATTACTGGACTACTGAAAATTCCCCCTGAACAATGAAAAGCAGATCTTTGGGGGGGAAAAAAAAGGTACAGTTGTTTTTAAAAATAGCCATCTGCAACCATACTCTGTGCGGTTTTGTAGCTCTTTGCCTCCCTAACTCTTGCTATACTTATTTGGGAAAGGAATATTTAAAATAATTTGGAATTAAACAGGAGAGGAGCCACAAGCACTCTCCTCTCCTCTGTGTACAGCCCTCATGGAGCTGAGATCAGGAGGCTGGAAACCAGGCTAGGAACCTGTCTGAAGAGAGTTACGAGAACTTCTCTTGTGGTTTCACTCATCAGAAAGCTTAGTTAAAAACCCTTTAGAAAACACCTCCATCGAGATTTAATCATAGCAAAGCCTCATAACCAGACTTCATATTCTTTGCGAGAGATGAAAAGAATAATAAGAATGTGTATGCCACAGTATTTACTAGCAAAAGAAGAAGCGTGAGAGTGGATAAAACCATACTACCCTTGCAAAATACAATGGTGAAGTCCCCAAAGGGCCACTTGGTGCTTGTTTTCATTGCCTTTGCTTGAGGTGGCTTAGCAGGAGCTCTCCTACCACTGAGATAAAGCCAACAAGACCTACCCGTGGGAAGCTATGCTGCCTAACCATTCCCCTATGCTGGCAGGGAAAAGAATTACAATCCACTGCCCTGTGCTGTTTGGTTTGCTCTCATCAAAGACCAGCACAGCAATTTTGGTCTCTTCCTATCTCCTGTTACTCAACTCCTGCAAAAATTAATCAAGATGTTGAGTCCTAATCAAACCTGTCTTGACAAAATGGGCTCAAAGGCACCAATTTTGGGTATTGATCTGGAAACTCTACACCTGAACTCAGTCATGTTTTGTCAGCAACAGTATTGGATCAATTTTTCTATACAATTCCAGTAAGAAAAACCCCAACCCTCAACTCCAGCAAACAGTGTTGCAAATCAGTTTATCATTATCTTGTACAAACCATGAAAATTAGAATCATGTGAGCAGAAGGTTAGACTAATTCTCCTTTCTCATTATAAGCACAGGTGTAGCACAAACACCATGTGAAATAAGCAATTAAAAAAAATCTGCTTTTTTTCCCCCATTAGCTGCCTTAGCTCCATGACCAATTAGAAAATTGTTTAATATCTGTAATCTGCATTTGCAGAAAGCAATTTTCACAGTAACTCTCCTCAGTAAAACAACAACACCAAACCCCAGTGCCCCAGCCATTTCTTTCTGCTAGCCTGGCAGGCTCTTGCTGTGTTTACTCCATCCTACTCCTGCCTGATTGCCAGGATCTGTCACTGCAGCAGGTTTTTGGTAGCCTTGAGTTTGTCTGGTCACCGAAACCTTCATTTACCAAAAGTTTCTACCCCAAAGAACCCAAAGGAGCAACATTAAGTATTCACACCCCAACTTCACAACCTTCTCTTCCTTCTCCTTCAAGAGAAGCATTTTTAATAAAAAGAGAGGGTAAATAATGAATTATATAGCTAGAATAATAAACTATATCGCTAGAATTTGCCAGTAAGATGTGTCTACGGTAAAACATATTCTCACCTGTTTGCCTCGTGCTATTACTTGAGGTGTCTGCTTTAAGAACATTTTACACACAGGTACTTAACAGTTATCTTCTTCCTACACATTCTTATAAGTATTTTCTATAAGTAGTAATTCTGCCAACCAGCCCAGTGTTTGGATGTCTTCAGGGGGAATTCAGACGTAAGAACATTTTCCTTCTGGGCAAAGTAATAAAATGACATTCTCGCTCCTCCCACCAGAAGTCAAACGGAGGTCAGCTCCCCATCCTTGTATCTGTTTAAATAAACTGGTCCAGCTGTTTGTTTCCAGGATGCCCTTTAACCTTCTGTCCCATCCTCCCTGCCTTTGTAACAGAACACTTTACTTTGCATTATAGTAGACTCCAAACCACTATGCATTAAAATAAAAAAAAAAGGAAGAAAGTATTCACTTTCAAGTTTCTTCCTGCATCCCAAACCTGGAATTCCTAAGAACCCATCAGATTAAAACCATTAATGTGGCTTGCCTTGAGAGAGCACAATGCAGTGCTGCTAGGTTTATAAATCACATAGGAAAATTCCTTGCAAACAAAATTGCAAATTAGCTGTTGCTGCAGAAATATACAGGCATGGAGATAACTTCATCATATTGTTGTTTTTTTTTCTTTGATAGAAAGCCCAAGATCTTTTGATCACTTTTTTAATTTTTAAAGTGCCAGCCTGATGTAATACCAACAAAAAATATGGAACAGGAAAAGCTAACAGGAAAAATCTCACTGCTCCTTTCCCTGTATGTTCACATGTGCCCATCTCAAGCGACTGAAACCCTAAATCACTCTAATTCATAAAGTTCAGTGGAATCAGGACCTAAAAAAGATATTTGCATAATAACTGCTACTCAAATGGAGTATTCTCAAAATACGACTCAGCATAAAACTGAACGATTAAGACAGCTGTATAACCTTACTTGTGTGAGTAAAGACCTGCACAGGCTCAAGAGTTGCATTAAGTCAATTTTCCTTTGCCAGCGCTTTGTGCATTGGTACCTTTGCTCTTATGTGGAAGAGGTTTTTTTTTGTTTGGGATTTTTTCCCCCAGAGGGCAGAATCAATAATGACGCCGACAACATGAGCTCCCTCTGTGAACAAGCTGTACCCATCTCCCTGCCCAAGGAAAGCTGAGAGCTCTGCAAAACAACGTGCTGAATTGCTTTGCTTTCCCTTTTTTTTCTTTTCTTTTCTTTTTTTTTTTAAATTTTTTTTCCAAGGGGAAGGATCTGGCATGGAGGAAACATTTGCACAGTTGGGCAAACAGAGAAGTTTAAAGTATTTATTATTGTTTTCAAGCTAACTTTTCCTTGCCCTTTTGGATGTATGAGATTGTGTTTTCTGCTGTGCTTCCAAAGGCAAGAAAACACCCCAGCTATTCCACCTGTGTAGCCCCAAAGAGGAGTAGGAAATCCTCTTTTCTTCAATTTGCATTTTACTAGGATGTTTTCTCTTAGTCTTCTTGCCCGGGGTCTGTCTCCAGAGGTCACTGGCAGTCTCCCTGGTTGGTGCAGGGCTGGTCCCACGGGTGTGATCCAGCCCCAGCCCCAGGGATGCGACAATCCGCCTCTGCACTCTGACCTTCAGCTTGGCCGCCCTCGCTGCCACGCACAAGTTTTGTTTCTTCTCAGCGAGAGGCGGCATGGCTGGTGATGACAAAAGACTTATTTTAGTTGGAAATTGGCTACAATAATAGCAGCCAGAGAGCAAGGATTTTCAGAGGGTCACCAAACCCTACGAAAGGCACAGTTCGCTAAGGCTCAGGTTACAGCCCGAGTGACATTTTCTGCACAGATCTGGTCTTTCTCCATTCCCCTTGTATTTCTCTTTTGTTGAGTGAATAAAACAAGACCTTCCTCTGCTGTCACAAATTTCCAAAGTCACCTTTGCTCAAGAATCGGCAGAGCGATTCCGGGGGCTTGCAATTTGCAGTCTTTGAATGAAATATTCCAGGACTAGCTGTCTGAAAGAAGACTTGAGTGGTATATCGAGTTTTTCTCTCCCCCCAGCTCTCCTAAATGAGGAGGGTTTCACACCACTACTAACTTTTGATACTTGGAGTTGCAGGCTGCTGCCTCTCAATATTGTAACAAAGCACTGCACGCCACAAGTCTGTGACTCACTAGTAGTGCCAAGAAATACCCAAAAATCATTTTCTCCTTGAGCTCCTTCTAGCAAACCAGGCATAAGGACAATGAGAAAGCCCACAGTACCGACAAACCCCAGTGCTAAAATGTCTCTTGGTCTGAAAGACCTGCAGTCCTCCTGACAACAAACAAATCATAGTTTTTATAGCAGATGCCAAAGTAACCAGAGCCCTTCAAACTGGCAAATAATTCACGTGTAAAACCAGCCATACTCTTTTCTGCATACTGAGATCCTTCATTTATACAGCAGTGAAACAACCATCTCTATTCAGCACTTAATTCCTCAACACTTAACAGGTTTATCTCAAATAAAAACAATTTAAATGGAAAGTGTGCTATAAAGTGGGATTATTACACTTCAGTAACTGCTTTATTCCTTATTTTAACATATTTTCATTTTTTTTCCTG